TCTCGCCACCAGGTCCAATAATGACGCGTTCTTCTACATCTCTCATAAGTGGCTTTGGTGGTAAATCCTCAATATGCGAGGCATGAATCAGCTGGAGAAGTTGATACAGGTCGAGATCTTCAACATCGACTTGATCATTGTTCCCTATAGGTTTAGTGATATTTTCTCTCTCTGAAATTTCCGGTACAGCTGTCTGAACCGTGATCAAAGGAGAATCGGTCCAAGCTGAAGAGCCATACGAGTTTACAGCAGCCACTCCACAAAGTACTGAGAGACGTCCTTGCGGAAGAATAAACCTTTCATCAATGCCTGTTATATTGTCTGCGATTTCCCTGTCAAGGATAGTAATTACCTGAAATTAAAGTTCGTAAATACGGCTTTATTGAGAAATGTACGTATACAGTACCTCGTCAGTTGCATTAGCTTCGCAATGCACTCTATAAGCAGCGGCATTACGAGACTCAGTCCACCGAATACGAAAGATGTGTATGGGAAGTGGTGAAGGTTGTTTTCTGGAATGCATAGGGCAAAATCAAGTCATTCATCATTTCCAAAGTAAAAAAAAATTGCGATATTTCATTTTTGGACCTACCTGATGTTTGTGGTGGTTATCACTAGCCGAACTCTTGCAATATTAGATGGTGGGGAGTTGCTACCATCGAATTCGTATAATTTGCCATTTTCAAGCTAAAATAATGGATTTAACAATGATGATAAAAAGCAAAATTGAAGGAAATGTATATTACATTGCGTCGTATCCAAGAATTTGCTGAGGAAGAAGATACGGAAGAAACTGATAGCAGTACAATTAATTGTAAAGCAAAGGAAGGCATATGAAGGCAGCGTACAATGCGATTTTCTCTCTTTCACTTTCGATCTCACATATCATCTCCTGTGTAGCCGTATCGCCATTGCAACACTATACGAATGAAGTTAAGTACTGTGAGGGTACAAGAAATGCTGAGATAAAATCCATGAAAAGAAGGCCCTTCTTGAATCAAATATCAGTATGAGAAAAGTGAAATACCTAAAAGTAATTGTTCTAAATTAAATTATTTCCGACAAAT